GGGGGGAGGCGGGAAAACGCGTGAGGGGAGAAAAGGAAACGCGGTAAGGAGAGCCCGGGAAAATGGGAAAACAAATGGAAATGTGGGAAACCGGGCAAAGAGAGACAGGGAAGACGGGAAAATAAATGGAAATGTGGGAAACCGGGCAAAGAGAGACAGGGAAGACGGGAAAATAAATGGAAATGTGGGAAACCGGGCAAAGAGAGACAGGGAAAACGGGAAAACAAATGGAAATGTGGGAAACCGGGCAAAGAGAGACAGGGAAGACGGGAAAACAAATGGAAATGTGGGAAACCGGGCAAAGAGAGACAGGGAAGACGGGAAAATAAATGGAAATGTGGGAAACCGAGCAGAGAGAGACAGGGAAAATGGGAAAATAAATGGAAATGTGGGAAGCCGGGCAAAGAGAGCCAGGGGAAATGGAAAAATGGGGAACAGGGTAAATAGAGTCAGGCAAAATGGAACAATGGGGAACCGGGAGAAGGAGGAAGGAAAAAAACAGGGAAAAAATGGCAAGAAAGGAAGAAAAGGCCCCTGGTGGGGGGTGGAAGGCACAAGGAAAGGCGAGCAGAAGGGTGGGCAGAGAAATGGAGGGAGGGATGGGGAGGTTACACATCTGGCCAGGTGAGTGCACAGCTGGGGTGTGGATGGGGAAAGAGAGAGGGATGGATGGATGGATGGTTGGATGGATGGATGGATGGATGGATGATGGATCCATGGATGGATGGATGGAGATGTAGGTGTGGTGTGAGACAACCAACCCTGAGGGCTGGGTTTCAGGGGATGCCAGGAACATGGGCAATCCACAGTGGGGGCGGCTCTGGGTCCCTGGCCAGGGGCTCCTGCTGTGGCTGCTCTGCCCAGGCTGCAGCCGTGGGGAGTCCAGGCAGGGGCTGTGATGGTGCCAGCAGTGTCACCCACAGTGGTGGCAGCGCCCCAGCCCTGATCCCGCTGCAGGGCTAATCCGCTTTGCCCGCAGGGACCAGATGGTCCCGCTAAGTGGGTCAGGCCGGAGCGGGGGACACCAGGGAGCGCTGGGCCCCACGGCGCTTCCCAACAGCTACAGAAAATAATCGAGTGGAATGAGGTGAAAGAGGAGCCTGAATATGGGGGAGTGGGGGGGACACAGCCCCTGGACTGGCAGCAGGACAGGGCTTGGCCACTGCGGAGCGTCCAGAGCCTCCTGAGCTGGTGGGGAAGAGCAGCGACAGTCTGGGGTGAACTTGCCTGTGGCACATTCAGTTGTACCCTGGACTCTGCCTGCTCTGCTGCCTGCTCTGCTGCCTGGACCTTGCCTGAACTGCTGCCTGTACCCTGCCTGCATATCTGCCAGCAGTGCTTCCTGCACCCTGCCCATATCGCTGCCAGTCCCTGCACTGCTGCCCTCATCTCCTGCCCATCCCATGCAAGGTTATTTTCCCCATGCCAGACTAGAAAAGAGCACCAGCCATCCCGAGAGGGGTCAATACCTGCTGTTCCCAGTGTCCCATTTTCCCCAGGGGTCCTGCTGGCCCCACCAGCCCACGCTGACCCCACTCTCCCCAGCAGTGGCACTGGTGTCCTTGTCTGTGCTGATTCCCCCTGCCCCAGAGACCCTCACCAAACCAGCCCCAGCCCCTGTTCACCACTGCAAGGGGGAGATCACAGAGTGGGACCCCCACTCCCCTCTAGCCCAGCACTGACACCATCCACCGCTGCCCATCCCCTCCCGGCTGAACCCTGCTGTGCCACGGCTAAAAATAAATCCATCCATTTCTAGGAAAGCTCCTTGGAGAGCATGAGCGAGTGGGAGCACATGGCCAGGAGGAGCATGCGTGGTCCAGGGGAAGCAGCATCTTGGGAGGGGAGCGGGGGTCACCAAGCCCCTCCACATGGCCAGAAGCCAGCCCAGGACACCTGCAGCATCCCCAGATCCCACGTGAACTTTTTTTTATCAATCCACTGCTTCCCCGAGCACCTAGATGAGGGAAAAAGGGGAGTTAAACCTGGGGCAGCACAGGACTTGCTCATCCCTAGAGAAACCTCCCTCTTGCTTGCCTTGGGGTGGGGAAGGATGCTGGGGGGGCTGAGGGCAGCATCGGCACCCATTCCTGGGGACAAGGCACCTTCGTGACTGGGGTGTAAGGGGCGTCAGCCAGAGGGGAAAAGCTGGAATAACAACACAGGCAATAGCAGAAATAAATATATTTCTGCCCCAAACCCCGCTGTGAGACATCAGTCCCCTCCCCTGCGCTGCTCGGCCCCCAGCACATAATTGGGGACAGCTTTGCTGAGCCGCTAAGCTGCCGTTTAAGCAGCTGAGCGCAAGTGGCCGGATTTCCAGCCAGCGCATCCCTCCGGCTGCTCATCCGCCCAGAAATGCCGGGCTGGGGGCCGGGTGTCGCCGTCCCCGCGGGGGCACAGCCCCGGCTCTGCCTCGCCGCTCGCCCGCTCAGGCATTAACGCCGCCGTCAGCACGGATTAATTCTGCCCTGGGCTCCCCGCCGCAGCTGCAGCACGAGGCCATAGGGCACCAGGCACCGTGTTTTCTGCAGGAGAGGCCCGGTCACATCCAGATCCCAAAGGGAATTTGGAAAGGCTCTCCTAGGGATGGGTCTCCACACCAGGATGCGTTTGCTGAGCTCACCGTTCTGTGGCCGGGCCGGCAGCGCCAGCGGCAGCACGCACGGCCGGGGGTGCTGGTGCTGTCGGTGCAGGCTCCACCCGGCCTCTCCTACAGCTATTCCCTTGGGAAGGATTTTGTGAAAGAGATGGAAGCACGTTCAGAGGCTCTCTCCTTAAAATGCCCCTTTTTATTGCAGGGTGCATGCCCCATCAGGGAGCCCATCTCAACGCCAGGCTGTTGGTGACAGCCCTGCAGCTCCTCTTCCAGGCTGTGACTGTCCCCCAAGCCACTGCAGGGAGGGATTTCTCCTTGGGTGACACCGTTGCCCGATCTCCGAGTTCACATACACAGGGAACAGTGCTGGGATGGAGAGACCAGGCAGGAGGCAGAGCCGTGTGAAATACTGGCGTGTTTATTGGTTGGCACTAGATTACAGCCCACACTCTCGGCAAACTGGCATCCACCAATTTAATTTTTTCAATTTTTCACTCTTTTAAGGACAGTGATGGCCTCCCTCTCACACACAACAGAGGAAACCCCTCGTGACAGGACCCCACCGCACCACCCAGTTTCACACACGGAGAGCCCTGCAGCCTTTGTGGAGACACTGCAGATGAAAGGTCAGAATCATGTAGGGATGTCCTGCACCTGCCAGCCAGGAGCAGAACACCTCCATTATCCAGAGGCTCCAACTGAGATAGAGTCCCAAAGGAAACAGAACGTGTTTTCTACTTCACGTGTGGGACTTTGAACAAAGGTGTTGTAAGAATGAGTCAGTAAAAAAGAGAAAATGCATCCGTTGCAATGCTCCATTTCCAAAGGGCCTTTGCAGTTGAAAAGTGTTTCTGCAAACTATGTAATTTATTGTAACCCTCCCATGTGAAGTTCACCAGGAGATTATAAACACCAAATGCTGGAGTGAGGAACAGAGATATGCAGCCAGGAAAATAAACCCAAACAGATTATGGGAATTACAAGTACAAAACCATCTTGAATTCACAACGAATTGAGTATTTCACTTGCAACTCACAGAAAGTCACTGAAAACATCAGGTCTCTTTTAATCTTAATAAATCAGCAAGTTCATTCTCTGTATTAGTTTTCCTTCTGCAAACTTGCTGACACTTCCCTGTGAAAGCCAGGTGGCAGGAGCAGCACAAAAACCTCCATGAGACATCCTAGCTGACCCCACCACATGCCAACTGACCCCATGACAATCCAACCAACCTCACCACATCCCAACCGACCCCACCATCACATGGAGCACAACACCCAGGGATCCTTCACCATCAGCCCCCACTCCAGGCCTGGACATTTGGATGACTTGGATCAGTCTGGAAGGGTTCAGAACCTGTTTTCCCTCACACCAAGGTCAGTCCCACCCTCAGTCGTGGGGGTGAGGTCAAAGGTACCAGCTCAGACACAAACCAGAGACAGGCAAAGCCCCACAGCCCTGACCAGCCACGGAGATTCATCTTTTGGGGAGGAATGAAGAAGCCTCAGGCAAACACGCCCATGGACAGGAGGCTGGACAATGGACCCTGGTCATTCATCCCCCAGCTGGGGTCTGGGGTCCCATTCTCCTGCTC